TCCAGATTCAGAATCCACCCTTTAAAGGGGAGGTTTCCCTTTGGTTTTTGGGGGGCTCTGTTAAATTGGAATTTGGATCGTTTCCGGTTTCCAATTTTACCCTAAAAATTTAACCAAATTTCAAACCCCCCCCCACTGTTGGGCTTAAAACCTCATTTTTTAAACCCCGTTTTAAATTTAAAAGAAAGAATTTAATTTTTTTAAATTTAAATTTTTAAAGAAAAATTTAAAAATTAAAAAAAGGCACCCCCGGGAAAAAGGGGGAAAAAAATTTAAAAATTTCCCAAATTTTTAAATCCCAGGTTAAAGGAACCCCCCTTTGGGGGGGTTTCCTTAAACCCAAAGGGGCTTCTTGAACTTTTAAAAGGGTTTTTAAACGGTTAAAAAAACCCTAACCCAATCCCCCCCCACGGTTTTAAACCCTAAGGGTTAACCTTTTAAATGTCAAACCAAAATTTATATTAAAAAAAAAAGAAAACCCATGGTTTTTAAACTGACAGGGGAAAAGGGCCGGGCAAGAAACCCTAATAAATAAGCTTTTTAAGGGAACCCCCCGGGGGGTTTGGGGGGAAAAACCCCAAACAGGGTATTAGGGGCCCCTAAAAATTTTGAAAAAAATTTGGGGCTTACCAAAACCCTTCCACGGTAAGGGGGCCCTATTACCTTTAAAAAATTCCCCTTAAATTTTTAAAATTTTTAAAATTACAAGGGTTCCCCTTTGACCAGAGGGCCGTGGTTAAAAGGCAAATTTAAAACCCCCTTGTTAAAGGGGGAATTGGGATTTTCCCCCCCGGGGAAATTTTGGGGTTTCTCTAAAAGGCTGAAAGGGGGGAACTGCTTTTAAAAAGGGGCGTTGTTTTCTTCAGAGTAATTTGTTTAAGGGCCTCGAACATTTTTTTTTTTTAAATTATCCCGGACACCTTTTTCCGGGGTTTAAAAAGGGCTCAAATTTTTTTTCAAAACCCCTGGAATCTTCAAGAAAGTTGCTTTATTTTAAAATTGTAATTTTAAACCCAAACGCACATACAAGGCATTTCCCCCTTCCCCTTTTTGGGTTTTTTTTTAAAGGGTTTTTAAATAAAAAGAAATTTGTTTTTAATTTCTTAATTAAACCTGTTTTTGGTTCCCTTTTCCATTTTGTTCAACCAAACAGAGCACTTCCAAGAGCTTCCCCCCCTTCTTGGATTTTTTGGTTTGGGGGTTCTTTTTTCACAAAAGTGCTAACCTTTTGGGAATTAACCAGGAAAAAATTTTCCAAGGAAAAAACCCAAAATTTTTAGGAAACCATTTTCCCCTTGGGGGGGTTTTTGTTTAACGTTGTTTCTAAAAAGGGAACCCCTACACCCAAAGAGATAAATTTTTTTTGGGGGTTTACCCCAGAAAAAAAATTAAATAAAAAAATTAAAACCCCCCAAATGTTTAAAGCTTTCTTTTAGGTTTAAATATGATTTTTCCAAAAAAAAGGCCCAACCCAAAATTTGGGAAATGCCTTTTTGGGGACATTCTTCAAATTCCCCCCCCCCTTTTTCCTTTGGGTTTAAATATATTTTCTTGAATTATGGGAAATTTTAATTTGGGGGAAAGGGCCACAAAACAAAAATTTCCCCAATTCCTTTTGGGAAATAATTTTCGAAAGGGGTTTTCTTTTTGGAAAAAAAAATTAAAAAAATTCATTAAAAAATTTCCGGGGAAAGAAGTCCCCTCAAATTTTTTTTAAAATTTAAAAAAACGTTAAGAACAAGGGCTTAAGAGTACCCTAAAAGGGGCTCTCAAAATGAAGGTGCGTTGCCCCTTTGTGGATTAGTGCTGCTTTTTTTTTTAAAATTTTAAGGATGGAGTTTGTCCTTTTAAAAATCTCGGTTTATGTTTAAAATTTTATATTCAAACTATCAGAAAAAAAAAGAGAAATATTTTTAACAAAGGGCAAATAGTAGATTTAAATTTTGTTTTTTGAAAAGGGCTCCCTTTCCAATTTTCAAAATTTCTAAAAAATTTAAATTTGGGCTGTCAAAGGTTTTCCCCAAAAAGTACCTGAAAAATTTAGGGACCATGAATAACCCTGGAGAACAGGGAAATTTTTAAAAAGGGTAGCTAAAACCCTCCTTGGAGAAAAGAGCATTTCACCATCTGAAGTACCTCCCCTAAAAGGCCCCCAAACCCAATCTGTACGACCCTTAAGATTTTTAGCACTGAAAAAAAACCCCATCGGCCATTTCCTACCGAGGGGGGGTCCCCAAAAAAATAAAAAAAAAAAAAAAACTTTCTTCATTCCACTTTCACCCATCACCAATACATAATCAGCCCTTTGAAAGAGGCACTCAGTTTGGGGGGGATGTCTTTGCTGTCATCTATAAATATCCCAAACCCCCTTTTTTTAACCCTTTCGGGCCCAAAGGGCCCAAAATTGGAGTCACCCCACCGTGAAAAAATTTTTTAAAGAAAAAAATTTTTTTTTTTTTTTCTTTTAAAAATCGTAGAGAATCTTTTTGTGAAGGTAATAAAACAAAAAGTAAAAAAATTTGGGGGAAAAATTGACAAAATTTATGCCCCCGGCGAGCTGAAATGGGCCCTTTGGCTTAGCGCTTCTTTTTGTTTTAATAATAAAAAAATTGCTCTCGCAAATTTTTTGGGGGGGGGGGTCGGGGGTATTTCAAATCGGCGTTTTTCTGCCGACTTGACCCCTTTTTAAGGCCAATTACTTTATTCCAATAAACCAAAATTCTTAGCTTTTTTCCAATATTATTTCCCTTTTTTTATCGATTGAGCAAAAAGAAATCGCCAAGTCAACTGTTTCAATACAAAAAAGTGATGGGAAAATTTGTTAATTTTGGCCTTTTTAAACAAAAAGGGTTCAAAAAATTCCAATTTAAAAATTGGGGTCCAGAATGAACAATGTAGGCTTTCCCGGGCCCAACTAAACTAACTTTTTCCTCTGTTCATTAGTTTTTTTTGGGGCTTTAAAAATTTTTTTACTTTTTGTTTTTTTATTCAAAATAAATTTTTATTCCCCCAAAAATTTTTGAAATTTATGTTATGCTTACGGGAAAAATAATTGTATAAATATCACCACCATTTTTGTAAAAATTTTATTTTAAACCCCCCCCCAGCTGGCGTGTATTGGTGTGAGGTAGTTTTTTTTACTTTTGGAATATGGGGAAAAAAAATTTTAAACCCATTTCTGCTATTTGACCCCCTCTTTTTTTTTTAAGCCTTTTCCCAGTGAAAAAAACCATCAAAAATCACCCCCCCCCTTTTCTATTTCGAAAATTTGTCTTCCTTTCATCAATAGACCAAAAAATCGCAAATACAACTAAAAAAAAACATACGAAAAAACATTTGCAAAGTTGCTTTTTTAATCGAAAAAATTCATGATTTCTTTTTTTCCCTCATTAAAACCACTGTGCTGCGGACTTTTTTATGTGGTGCACACATACCCCCAAGTGAAATTTTTTTTTCCCTTTTCTGGCCCAAAAAATGTACCACTCACAGTTTATAAAGGAGCTGACCCCATGGTAGTCTAGGGTTTGGGGCCCCTGAATTTAAAAAGCCGTAGATCTAGGGGAAAGGGGACCCTGGGGGGTTTAAAAGTTTTTGGGCACTGTACTTCCTATTTCCCAGGACTCCAGCCCACCCTAACCATTTCCCCTAAACCCCTTTCAAAAAATATTACCCTCCACCTCCAATACCATTTAAAATTTTTATTAAAAATAATAAGAGCCTAAAAAGAAATTTTCTCAAATAAAATTAAAAGATGTAAAAAAATTTTTTTTCCCCATAAACCCTTTTTGGTTTAAAATTGTCCATTCCCATATACAATTTTAAAAAAGCCATTATCATTTATTATAAAAGGGGAACCCTTTTCAAATCAAAAGGGGTTCATGGGTGCCCTGGAGGGAAAGGGAAGGTAATCAGGTTAATCCCAAAAGTAAAGTCATTTTTGGGATCAAGCCCCTCCCTGGCATAAAAAAAACCCCTTTTTGGGGGTTTTTTTTAAAGTGACTACCATCTAGAGATGGTAATCTTTTCCCTTTTAGTACTTTTCTCGCTGCATTACCACATAAATTTTTAAAAAACCCGGGAAAGGTCCTCGACAAAAAGGCGGGGTTTAATTTAAATCCATTACATTTTACAAAATATTTTTTTAAAAAGAGGGTACCATTGTGACAGTTTTTTAAATATTAATTTTTTTAACTATTTTTGGGGCTATTTAATCCAAAAAAAAAAGAAAAATTTCAAAAAATAATTTTAAGCCCTTTAAACTTTTTTCCAAAAAAAAAAAATTCCAAGTCACAAAGAAATTCTAAGCATGGGGAAAGGCAGTAACCTGATAAATAATAAAAACCTAAAAAAGCAAAACCCTATCTACCCCAACCCAAACCAAAAAAATTTTTTAATATTTTATTTTACATTCCCTACTGCCCAAAAAGGGAAAATGTAAAAATTAAGGGAAAATGTTTTATATATGAAGAAGGGGTTTTCCAAAGGAGGGGGTTAAACCCTCCCCCATTTTTATAAAAACACATTAGACATCGGGAGGGGGTAATCCCAACATATGAAAAAAACAATCCTTACCGGGAAAAAAAACAAGCCCCATAAAACAAAATCCTTTCCAAATTGCTGCAAAGGAAACAAAAAAGGGAACACCCCAAATTCAATGTTTTTAAAAGGAAAAAAACTTTGTCCTCCTTACAAAAACCCCCCAATAACAGTTTACCTAATTTATAGTTTTTTTTGCCCAGTAAAAATGCTACGGGAAACAATTTATTTTTTTAAGCAAAACCCCTCATTATCAAATCACATTTTGCATAAAATGGGGCATAGGGAAGAAAAAAAAAAAACCGGGGGCTTTTTAAAAACCAAAGCAAATTTGGGTTTATAAATTTGGGGTGGGGAACAGCCCCCTTTTGGGGGGACGTCGACTGCCGTGGGGGCCCGGGGCTTTGGGAAGCCTGACGGGGCCCTATTAAAAGAAGTTTTTTCAGCCTCCGGGAAGGACCCCTTTAGGTGTTTTTTAAACCCAAAAAAAGTAGGAAGCGCTTTACACCTGTAAGATGAAAAAAAGAATAGGGTTTTTATAAAAAGAAAAAAAAAGTCTTTATTTATATGCGCCTAAATTACACTTTAAAATTTTTTTTTTTTTTCAACAAGTCGGCCGTCTCCCCCCAGGCGGGGGTTTGGCCCAAAAAAAAGAAAGAAAATCCCCAAAAAAGAAAAAAATTTTTCATCATCATTAAAACCTTTCTTACCAAATCAAAATTAAACACTGTTTTTGACAGGGGTTTCCCCCCTCAGAATAAAAACAGTTTAGAAGCATATCCCGTTTAAAGATCCCACAAATTCCCCCCAAACCCCCAAATATCCCAAATCCCCCTTTTAAAAAGTGCAGGCATTGTACTTCCCATTTCCGGGATAAAATTTCCGAAATTTTAAAAAAACCGGTTTCCCTGAATCCCTTACTAAAAATTCCCTCTCACCCCAACAGATCGTCGGGGCCCCAAGATCATTCGTCCCCATTAATCCTATCTAACAGCCAGGCACGCCGTTTGGTTTGGAAGCCCAAAACCCCCTTGCCCCCCAACCTCCTTTACCCCCCTTTTAAACCCCTTTTCGGGGAAAGCCCTTACCCCTCCCCCCCTTTTCCCCATTAGATTTATTTTGCTTTCCATGTCTTCCTTTGACCCTTTCCCTCTCTAAAAAAACCAAACCACCTCCCCCCCCCTCTTCTGCCCTCTGATTAATTTTTTTATAACCCCAAACCCTTCCCTTTAATTTCCACACTCCCTAAATTTTTTTTTTTTTTCGGGCTTTAATATTTACACCACACTTTCCCCCTTATTATTTTTTTTATAAAAAAAGGAGCGTAACCCAAAAGGGGCTATACAGCCCCCGTCCCCTTTTAGACGGGGCTCTCCCGGGCATCCAACCGTCTCCTCGCTGCTGCATTTACCACCCAAGTTTCCACACCCATAAAAGGGTGTTGGTATACTATCTTTCAAAAACATTCCCTTCTTTGCCCCATAGAAAACGTTTTTTGACTCCCTATACCTCAACGAAACCACTCCCCTTTTTTTCCCTCATCAATTCTTTTTTTTTACCCACCCTTCATAAATAAAACCCCGCCGCCCCGGGTAACCCCAAGTATCTAAAAACTTTCACTTCTTCATACTCCCTCCTCCCCAATTTTGATTTTCCAATTTTTTTTATCTAAATCATTTGATCCCCCATCCCCTTTACTTTTTTCTATGTTCACTTTAAAAATTTCTATTTTTTTACAAACATTTTTAAAAACCCCTCACTAACCTTTGAAAATTTTTCTTTAAAAATCCCCCAAAAGCCCCAGTACATCAGCAAAAAGTAATTTGAAAAATCCCATTTTAAATTTGTTTCCCCCAAATTAACCCCCCTTTCCCCCAAACACCCAAGCTTTTCCCTTTCCTTTTTCCAATTTTTTTTTACCATCAATTCGGGAAAAATTTAAAAACCAAAATTTGTAACTTCCCAAGGGAAAAGCCCCCGGGTTTCATCCCCCAATCTAAAGCTTCCCAAAGTAACTGGTCCATTTTTTCTATTCACCCCCCCCCCATCCTTTTTTAAACCCCTACAACGGCCCAAAAGGGTAGATCTAAATTCTGTCGCCCAGCACTCCAATATTGAAAATTTTTTTTTTCTAAAAATTTTTGAGGGCAAATTTTGTTTTTAAAAAATTTTTTTTTTTTTTTTTTTTTTTTAGGGTCAGCACTTACTGATAAAAAGCCCATGAATTTTGGAACGGAGCTCCCTAAAGGGCAACATGTATCCTGCCGCTTGCAGAACTGTTGCCGATATACCTTTTTTTTTTTCTCTTTTTTTTAATTCATAAAAAATTTTTTTAAAAATACGGGTAATTACAATTTGTAGTGGGTTTTTTTGATTTAAATACCCCCAAAGTTTGTTCTACACAAATTTTTAGGTACTGAAATAGTACTCAGTCAAACCCCAACGGACGGGTTAAACCCTTTTTCCATCTGCCTTGGCACCTACATTACGTAAGAGGTAGAGGGGAAAAAGGGGAAAGGTTTGGCAACAAGCAAGTAAGGGGAGGGGAAAAGTGTAAAAATTAAGGGGAGGGGGAAGTTGGGGGCGGAAATGATTGACTATTGGCAAAATTTGGGCTAGTGAAAAGATGAGAGGGGGGGGGTTTAAAGGGGGTTGGGAAAAAATTTTTAAAAATGCAGTTTTGGAATGTGGGGCAGAAGTTTTTTGGTTTTTAGGGGGTGGGGGCAGGGGAAAGAGGAGTGATTGGGGAATATGAAGAAAGGGTGTAAAAAAAGAAAAAAAGGGGGAACTTACGAGGGGGGGGGGTTTTTACAAAGAAAAGTGTTATAAGAAGAGCAAGTATTGGAATAAAAAAGGTAAAAGAGAGTGGGGGAGAGTGCAAAAGGAGAGCAGTAAAAGAGTGGGAGGGCACGGGTCAAGAAATTTTAAATAAAATTTAAAAAAAAAATTTTGGAGTTTAAACAAGTTAAAAAAAGCCTGGGGGAAAGTTTTGGATTTGTCATTTAAAAACAGAGTAGGGGGAGTTAGTAGATGGGGGGGGGAGGTATTGGTAGATGGCGAAAATTTTGAGGAACTTTTTAAATTTTAAAGGAAGAAAGGGAGGCGGAAATTTTTATGCCCAGGGCCAGGGAGGTATACCATCTTTTAGGAGTAAAAAGAAGAGCAGAAAAAAAGGGTGGTGGGGTGGGTGAGGCATTACGTAGAAAAAAGGGGGTAAAGCGGGCGGGAAAGGGGGGTTTCATGACAGAAATTTAAAAAAAAGCAGGGGGGAATATTTTGGAGTGGTTGGTCCTTTTGTTTAAAAAAAGTATAAAAAGGGGGAAGGTACCTAGGGTTTTGGCGGGGGAGCATGTATATTTCCCTTTATAAAAAAGGGAAAAAGGGGGACAAAGGGGGTTTTGTAAAAATTATAGGGAAAATTTTAAACCGATTTATCCCCGGAAAAAAGTTACGGTAGGGGGTTTAAAATTGAAAGAATTAGGGGTAAGACAGAATTTAAAAATTTGGGGGAACGGCAAGGAGGCTTCGGGTTTGGGGAAGGGATTTTGTAGATCAAGGGTTTACATTGAAGCATAATGAACAGTATTTAGATAAGGGTAGGGAAGTTTTTTTTGGGGGCCTTTTTGGATTTAGAAAAGGGCAATGGAATTATAGGAATAGGGGAAAGCAAATGGGGAAAGAGTTTTATAGGAATAGGTTTTGGGTTGAGAAGAGGGAGAATATTTCCCCGGAAAAAAGTATTTCTTAGACAGGGATGTGTAATGTCACCATGGTTTTTTAATATAATTTATAGATGGGGTTTAAAAGAATTAAATGGTTTTGGGTGTTCGGGAGAGGGGTGGGGTTAAATTTTGGGGAATCAAATTTAAAAAGGGAATTTACCCCAGTTTCTTTTTTCTGATGTACTGTGCTTATGGGGATTCAAAGAAAAAATTTCAAAGGGAGGGGGTGAGTTTGAGAAAGTGGGGGTAAAGGGAAAAAATTGAAAAGGGAAAATAGAAAAGAGTAAGGTGATGAGGGATCAAATGATTTAGTTAAAAAAAAAATTGGTATCAAATTGGGGGGGAGGGTGGAAGAATGAAAAGTTTTCGATCCTTTGGGGGTTTTTACGTGTCGCGGTTTGGGTTTATGAAGGATTTAGGTTAATTTATAGAATTATGAGGGGAAAAAAGGTGAGTGGTGCGTTGGGTATATGTGGGGTCAAAAAACGATTTTCTATGGAGGCAAAGAAGGGAATGTAGGGAAAATAATTTTTTCCCAAAACCCCTTTATGGATGTTTAAGCTTGGGTGGTAAATTCAGCAGCAAGGAGGGCGGGTTTGGGAAAAAGGAGGTTTGGGATGTCCTGTTTAAGGGAAAATGTGTGGTGTAAATATTATTTCAGAAAATTCGGAAATGTGGAAAATTAGGAGAAAAGGGGTGGAAATTTATAAAAGCAATTTTTAGAGGGCAAAGGGGGGGTTGTTGAGGGGGGTTTGGTTTATTTGAGAGAATGGATCAAAAATAAATGACTGGAAAGCATATAAAACTATAGGGGAAGGAAAAAGGGGTAGGGGGTTTTGCCCCCAAAAGGGGTTGGGAAAGGGGGGAAAGGGGGTTTTGTGGGGGGGGGGCTTGGGGCTTCCAGCAAGGGTTTTCATAAGCTGTTAGATAGGAGTGAATGGAGACAATGATACTTGGGACCGGCGATCTGTTGGAGTGTGAGCAGGGAAATTTTTAGTTTAAGGGATTTAGGGAAAACCGGGTTTTTTTCATAAGTCCCGGGCTTGAAATCCTGGGAAAAAGGGGAAAAAAAAAATGCCTGCCCCTTTAAGGAGGGGTTTTTGGGGGATTGGGAGTTTTGGGGGGAAATGTTGTGTATTCAAAGTATATGCTTCAAAATTTGTATTCTGAGCACCCTCTGCAAAAAGCAAATGATAATTTTTGAGTGTGGTGGGAAAATGTTTTAATGATGATGAAAGTTTTTTCTTTTTGGGATTTTCTTTCTTTTTTTTTTGGGGCCCCCCGCCCCCGGTGGGAAAACGGACCGACTTTTTGGGGGGGGGGGGGGGAAAAAAAAATTTAAGTTCCAAGCAATGTTTTTAAAACATGTTTCAATATATGAAAATCCTTTAAGCATGGTTTTAAGCTGTCACTCCAATGCTGACATTTCAGCTGTGACTTTTGATTTACCGTCACCTTTCCTTGGCTTTGGGTTTTTTTTTTTACTGTTTTAAAATTTTTAAAATTTGGTAGTTGGGTTTTGGGAAAACAGCAAAACCCCCCAGGGGAAGTACTTTCCGGCCCCGATGATGTGAAACAAAAAACCGTAAAAAGTTTTTGGGATGATTTGGAGGATTGCTGGTTTCTTTTTCTGTCTCATAAACACGCTTGATAAAAAGGGGGAAACTTGTACTTCCCACTTACACCCTTTGGGGCAAACTTCCAGACAGCACATGCAAAAATATATATAAATACATCTAGGTTTTTCTCCTTTTTCTAAAAAAGCTCTTGTTCTTTTTTTTTTTTC